AACACGATAAGGGTAATTTCACTACAACGGTCTGGAGAGAAGGAAAACACGATAAGGGTAATTTCACTACAACGGTCTGGAGAGAAGGAAAACACGATAAGAGTAATTCACTACAACGGTCTGGAGAGAAGGAAAACACGATAAGGGTAATTTCACTACAACGGTCGATTTTTAAAATATGTACCAAACTTCACTGATGAAGACGAGTTTAGTATCGAAACCCGGTTTCTAGCGTTGTAAGCCCGCAGACATACCACCTAAAATAGGATGGAAAACACCAGAATTTCCAATAGCAACAACTAGTATATCAAATCGATATCATTATATTAAATGTAGCATTAGGAAAATACAATAGTTTCGTTTTAAAGTTCACTATTATAGTTTGTTTTTCAATCTATGTAGTTGTACAGTGTAAACTAACTTTTTTTGTCCTTTCTAAACACCAAAGAAAAGTATACTGCAACGTGAAGAAATAACTTCATTCTAACAAAACACAATCAGCGCAGGATAAGGTATAATAGTAGTCATATTTGAAAATTTTTTTCCATTGATAAAAATAAGCAGCTCTTCAGCTCGGATGAGATGAATATGTGAAAACGTTGTTGTTTTTATAGCTTGTGCTAGAAGGTACCCGTTGAAACAATACAACGATAATTTTCTTAGAAATAGTGATAAATAAATATAAAGTGTACAGTCAACCCAATCCCTTGGATCATAGAGTAAACACAATACGATTGTCTAGTGGGCCGTTTACAACCGTGTTTTGTCATTCCACGTGTTATTTCAATATGGAGGCCGACGAGGCCTTTCGCACAATATCAGGTCTCATCACCAGTGGTTGAGATTCTATCAAACTGCATGAACAACAACTGTTATTGTATGAACCAGAATAAGTTGTCGAAGTGTCAATTTTGTCAAGTTTATTTAAGTCGTTTACAAATTAGGGTAAGGACTAATATCACGTTATTATTTAATTATTAAGTGATGTTATAACTTAATGAATCACTAACGATTATTTCCCATCATAACATTCATGCTGTGTTAAAGTGGAAAATGGTTATGGTAGAAAAGAGGGGGGATTTTATTTTTAGAGCAAAGCCACATTGGATTATCTGTTGTGTCCACCAGGGGAAGAGACTGCTGGTAGATGTATACAAAAGAAGGTAAACATGGAAGATTTGAACGACTGTTAGTGCTAAGCTGATGCTTGTTTCATACCACGTTCAATATTCATAAACACTATCAATGAAAAAGGTGCTATCTGATGGCGCAGCAGTGCATCTGAGGGCTAACGACGCTAAAATTATGGTTTCGATACTTGTGTTGGTAACAACACAGACAGCCCATTGTGTAGCTTTGCGCTTAGAAACAAACAAACGAAAGGTTTACGTGATCAACATTTTTGTTACATAACAACGGTCAACATTCTGTCACATAACAACGGTCAACATTCTGTCACATAACAACGGTCAACATTCTGTCACATAACAACG